TATTTTTTGCAGCTCGGTGACCAGTTATACGCCCAGCAAATTGGATTTCGCGCAACTTGCTCTGTCGGGTATGGGACTGAGCAAAGCAGCAAGTAAAGGCCAGGTACCGGTGCTCCCAAATGGAGAAGTTGATTATGAAGCGTTACTTAAAATGCCCTGATTTTTTGTTGGGAAAAGTTCCCGCATTCATTTTCAGTAAAGGTTTGGTAAAATTCATTTTCTTTGGACGAAGACGTTTCTGGCGGCTAAACTCTTCAGTCCACAGGCTTTCGCATTTGATAAATAAAGAAAATTATTTGTGTTTTAGCACCGGTAAATCTAGCACTAATCCTACATAGAATTCTTTTCTTTTTCTCGTTTTCTTTAGTTTTGTGAGATTTTGCAAGCTTATATGAGTCCGGTGAAACGAGAGGTAAATTGAACTCGTCGCCTTTGCTACCCTCAAACTGCCATTATCACCGTCAGCCATACCACTGTCCTGCACTTTGTGAAACTTTCTTTCTGCATGAGTATTTCTCATAATATTTTTTTTTTTTTTTCATTGCTTGCCTTTCCTTGTATCTTTTTTGTTTCGTTCCTGCGGCCACAGTGCACAGGTTCTGGATTTTTGCGGATTTTTTTGGGATGTTCGGATTTTTTTTTGGTGTAAGCTGTAACCGGGATATGTGTGGGGTGTCGTAAAATTTAGCCGATTAGAGAAATTTTTAAGACCATCTCAAATGTAAGTGTAATTTGCCAACTGTTTGCCTTGGTCCAGCTGCTTCAACGTCATTAATTGAATTGCAGTGACACTGTATATGTTGAGAATCTTCTTGATATTCTGTTACCAAGAGGGAATTAGACTTCTGACACAGCTGACACGGTATAATTTCGGAAGAAATTTTCCAGGAAATTTCCAAAATAATAGAGCACAGTAATCAAAGATTTGTATTTTTTTAATATTATTTATATATAATTCTTATTCGACGTTCACAGGCATGTTTCACAATCTGGCGGTGGTTTTC